AATGGTTTCCTAGTACCGTCAAAGGACTGATACAAATCAGGTTCATATCGGGATTACGTGATGCCGAGTGGAGCCCGATTTGCTTTCATTCAACCTGTGTAAACGTCATCAACTTAAAAAAGTTTCGCTATTATATCTGATCTAAATTTTGATTTGACCAGATAACGAAATTGTGACGCTAGGATAGTTACACTGGTCGAAATAAAACATATCATAGCTTTATTCCTGATATGGCACTGATTAATGGCTCGGATCATGTCATTTCTAGGTTCATATCGGAACTGATAGAGCTATCAGTAAAATTATAAAAGCTATCGGGTTTCTGATATTTAACCAATAGCTCTATTAGCTCCGTTATGAACCTGGAAATGACGCGATTCGAGCCATTAAATATCAGGACTAAAAAAAATAATGATATTTGCCTGATAGGCTTTATTTCGACTAGTATTGTAGAGAGGTGAACAGTTAAACCAATATTAGGAGTAATGATGAGACTACCGATAATTGTCACATTCAATAAATTTATAAAGGATCAATAGATCACGGCGTATAACAGTTGAAATTTTAGCATCTGTAGTCTCATCACTAAGTAGGAGTATAAAAATGTTCGTGCCAAAGCCACGGGCCTATACTTGCTGTCAAAACCCGGACAAATCCCAAATTCAAAAAAAACCAATTGCTATTTGTAAAAGATTAAATCAAAAAAGTTGTCTTAATAATTTACAAATATATTATCTATAACAATAAAAATATCTACTATTTTGTTTAAACAAAAATTATTAAGTTTTTGAGAAATTAATTTGGGATGAATTTGGGATTTGGGCATGGACAAATTCAAATAATAATAATTTGGGATTTTGCCAACATGTATACACGGGCCATAAGCTAGTTACTAAATAATCTTAAACCTAAATTTTATAATTTTATTAATCCCAGTTTTTAAAACTAATATTAAAATATATACTAAACAATTTATTATACAAAAATTTTTAATAATATGAGATAACATCACGTTGGCACAGTGATAATTTTTTTGATCAGAGAATGCCGCTTCCATTTT